TAAGGGGCAGGGAAACCAGATTACCTAAACCCGAGAGAGAACGTAAGGGGCAGGGAAACCAGATTAATGGAAACAAAACAAGCAGAGTGGAAATAATGAGACTGTTCATGCATCATGAGGGACGTAACCAGTATCACTGAACAACCTGAGTAGTGGCTGTTGAATGGGAACCTCAAGTGGTGTGCAAGCCTTCACCAAGAAGACAATGATGATTAAATATTATTCGCAGGTCCTGAGTCAGCCTGGTCACAATGTCTGTTCATGGTACTAAGAGGATGACCTCTCGAAGCCACTCACATTCCGCTCCAGCTCAATGGCCCGGTCCTTTACGCGGAGCAGCTCCATGGTGGTGTCCTTGTGGCTGGGCCCCCAGGTCTCTTTGCTCTGGTGACAGGTGGTCAGCGTCCCCAGGGGGTGTTTGAAGGAGTTCTGTAATTGCCGACCCTCGCCTTGGTCCTGCTTGAGCAGCTCACATTCCTGTTTCACCTGGAAGGCCCAGGGTCAGAGTACAGACCTGAGGCAGGAAGCCCCCAGGCTCCGAATCAAGAATAAACCCACTGCCATCGAGTCCATTCTGGCTCCTGGAGACGCTACAGGGCAGAGTAGAACTGCTCCGTCAGGTTCCGAGACTAGACATTATTACGGGAACAATCTCATCTTTTTTCCATGGAGTGGCTGGTGGGTTTGAACTTCTGACCCTGTGATTAGCAGCCCACTGATTAATCCACTGTGCCACCAGGGCTCCTTGAGCCAAGTGTAGGTATGTAGGTCTAGGGGATGACCCCATGCCTAATTATCCACCCCACATACCCGATTATTCACCTGGTACTGGTGCACACAAGGCAGCCAGGCCTTTGGCTTCTGGGGGAGCTACCTCTAACCTCTGCTCCTCTGGCTTTCCTCCCTCCCTCCCTTTCCAGAGAAGACAGAAAGGGCAGTAGTCTGAGGGTCATACAATGGAGACGTGGGGGGGCATCTGGACCAGGTCATTTTAAAGCCTCCTCCAGCACTCTAACTGCTTTGTTGTAGATTTCTCATCCAGCCACACAGCCAGGAAGCACACCACGTGCTCAGCAGAAAGGCTGGCGGAGTACACGTGTGTGCATGTGTGTCCAAGAGGTGACACCTGGTACGTCTCCCCAGCCCGTATGTGCTGTCCCACTGGAAGGAGCCCCAGGACCCCAAGTTCCCCACTCCTGTGGGCTCTCATCAGCATCCCCGGGCCTGCCCTGTGACTCACCCAACCCCACCCCAGGAGATGGGCACCCATGCCTTGCCCGTGGTGCCCACATGAGGAGTTGGAGAGAGGGAGGCAGAGCCCCGCCCCCGCCCTGTGCCCACGCTGGCTCCGCGGTGACAGCAGTCCACTCGTACCAGTCGGAGCTCGTTCTGCAAGTGGTCATTGAGGCTCTCCTTCTCTTCCACCTGGGCTTCTAAGAACACAATCTTTTCTTCTTTCATGGCTAGCGTTGTTTTTAATGCGGATTCATTTCTGCCCTCCAAAAGCTTGTACTTGCTGAAAAATCACAAGGATACAATAGGATCACTTATTTGCCCCCACCACCCATCAGCTGTCACTCTCTCAATGCCTCCCCTTTAAACTGGCATCTGTCGCTCCCTGTAGTCTCCAGCCTGGAAATGCTGCAGAAGCCCAAAAACCACGTGTGTAGAGCCCTGACCCCCGGCTCGCCGAGTACACACCCCTGTGACAATGCGGCACAGCAGTCTTCGTTGTTGTTGGGGTTAAGTGCCTTCGAGTCAGTTCTGACTCATAGTGACCCAAAGAGTGGCTGGTGGGTTTGCACCACTGACTTTGTGGCTAGCAGTCCAGTGCTTACCCTACAGCACCACACCAGGACCCCTGACATCACCGTGTTGTTGTTTGAGGCACTCAACAAAAAAAGTTGGTTTCCATCTCATAGTGACCAACCCTGTGTAGAGTTTCTGAGTAACAGCTGGTGGGTTTGAACCACTGACCTTGTGGTTCAAACTGAACGTACAGTCCAGTGCTTATCCTACAGTGGCACACCAAGACTCTGACATCATTCTTGTTGTTGTGAGGTGCCAATGAGTCAGTACCGACTCATAGCGGCCTATGCACAACAGAACAGAACACTGCCCCATCATGCACCATCGTCGTAGGGAGGTATTGTTTTACACATGGGGAAACTGAGTCTCAGAAAGGCTAAGCGACTTGCCCAATGTGACAGTGGTAGGCAAGAGGTTTGTCCGTGGCTTCTTCACCACACGACAAAGGCACCACGTCACCACCAACTACATGTGGATCTGGTAAGTGACAAGTCCAGCAAAAGCCTAAGATCCTGGGTTTCCTCGAACAATCACATCAGTTTAACATAGATATCTATTTACACTCTTCCCCAGGGACCTCAAGGTACAAGATGAGGACTAGGAAGGGCGAGCCCTTGGTGGTGAAGAACAGTTAGGAGGGGATGTGAGTGGCACGGAGGGGACAGCCTCACGTGTCATGGTTGGCGCCATCGTCCTGAAGCAGTAGCTCTTTGCTGAGGCCGGCCTTCTCCAGTTCCCGGCTCAGCTTGTCCAGTTCACTGGTCAGCTGCTGGCTCCTCAACTTCTCCAGCACCAGGTCCTGCAGTGATCAGAAAGTGTGAACTCAGGATGGGGGCCCAGGAGAAACACAGCAGCGAGGGGCTCAGGTCACCCCCAATCTGAGCACCTGTCTTCTCACATCATGGGCCAGCACCTGCTCTGACTGGTTGATCTGAATACACCAGGAACATACCTTAAAGGATGGGTCTCAGCAGACCTTCTCTCCCCGCAGACCAGGTGACACAGGTTAGAAGAGGTCCAACGGGCACCTAAGGTGGCTGAGACACCCACTCTGGCTGACTTCTGAGCAGAGGTGTTTTCTCGTAACATGAGAGCCTCTTTTAGGGGCTTTCTGAGGAGCAGTTGGTGAATCTGAACCGCTGACTTTGTGGTTAGCAGTCCAGTGCTTATCCTACAACGCCACACCAGGACTCCTTAAACATTCATGGCAAAGAATTTGGGATAGACGAAAAAGGTAGAAAAAAAGGCAAGATTTCATTTCACACCCTGGTTTCAGCTGCTTTTCAGAATGTGGATGCTGATCAGGAAGCTCACCGTAGCTCACTGTGGCCCAATTTACTGGCATCCCTAGTTAGATACATATGTTCTGCCTGGTGTCACAGCTCCCCTAGGAGCGAGACTGAACTGGGACCATGAGATACCACTCGGGTGCTGAGAGCATGAGCGCAGCAGTTACACCCCAGAACACAAGGGGTGAACAATGACCCGGGCACAAAACACAGGCCATCTTGGAGACATTGTGGACTCAGTTCCAGACCACCACAATGAAGTGAGTTCTACCATAAAGCGAGTCACACGTTTCCCAGTGGAGACGAGAGTTTTATTTACATTGTACGTAGGGAAGGAAGTGTATTATGAAAACGCTTGAAATATCATTGAGAATTACCAAACCGTGACACAGAGACACAAAATGAACACAGGCTGTTTGTAAAATGGTGCCGAGGGACTTAACAGTGTTGCCCCAAATCTGTAAACACAAAACAACACGACAGCTGGGAAGCATGATAAAACGAGCACTGCCTGTACCAGGGAACGCAAAATTTCTGGAGAATCCTGCATCTATCAAGAACTTGAAAACATTCATCCTCTGTGATCCTGCGATCCCACACTAGGAAAATATCCCGTGAAATCCATCAGACATGAGGGGGCTTCAAAAAACTAGTTCAAGGAAAAACATGGGATGAAGAGGTAATTTTATTTTTTTCAGTCCTTTCGAAGCCCCCTTGTTATTTTCACACAGGCATGTGTGCACAAGGATGCGCAGTATTATTTTTAAGCAATCAAAAATGAATCTACCGATGGGAATACACACTCTGATTGGTGATCACGTTCGTCACAGACAAAGAGAAGTGAGGGAAAAACAGCAATGAAGCTGCGAGCTAAGCCCTACAACGTTCAATAGACTCCTGTGAACCCGGGTAGAGACCTGGTTGGCCAGTAGTGTGGCAAAACCTGGGGACTCTTGGGCCCAGGGTCAGTGGCATAGCCACAGAAGACTAGAGTGGAGAGTGAAGCATCCAGCTGATAAGAAGAGAGGGCATATGCATAAGAACACCCACACTTGCAGATAATACCCACTTGACCTGGCTTCAATGACTGGATGATCAGAGCTCAACCAGAAGTAAAAAGAAGAGGAAAGAAAAAAGAGTAATCTGATACAATTTGATGAACTGGACCTACACCTATGGATGTAGTATCTCAAAAGAGGGAACAAATCTTTATAGCAAGGATCATTCCCACCTCCCACCCCCTCCCACACACAGAGTAGACAGCGATGGGCAACTTGGATATTGGCTATTAAAAGTGTGAGGGAGGGCCTACAAAGGCAAAAAGTAACTGATTTACAAGCTTTCAAGAGGAAACCTAAATCCAGAGGGTGTGGAAGAAGGCAGAATCTCCACTGAGTAGTATCCAATACATCTAGGCAGGGCTGATGAAAGGAAATGCAGACAGGTCTCTTGTGATACAATACTGAATAATTGTTATCAGGACTGATTGTGAGGGTTGGAAATGTAAAGGTAGATGTTTTGTAGCAAGGAGGGGAGTGATTAACTTTTCAGTCTATGAGCGGAGGTCCCTGACACCACCAAGGAAGAAGAGTGGAGAGCGGGACCCTACCCAGAGAAGCAGTGATGCCTGATATGGAGGCAGAGATGATGACGTGGAGCGATGGAGCAGCTGAGGACTTTAGACACAGAGAGGGAGAGGGGCTGTGTGCTGACGACCGGGGGGCAAGTTTGTAGTGTATACCCTTTGGTTGGTTGATGATACATGGAGGGGACTGTAACCAAGGCAATGAAATGATATAGGATAGGATGAATGTAAAAGTAATGTCTCCCATGTAAACAATCACATAATTCACAATAAAACATTTTTAAAAAAATGAATCTACCTGATCATTGCAATGAAATGATGAGTGCAAAACCAATGTTCTCCCATGTAAACTATCTCTCAATTCCCAGTAAAAACGTAAAAAAAAAATCTAAATCCATGTGGAGGGTAAAATATCTTGCAGCCAACAGTCATTCTGGCCTTGGAAACTATTGAAAGAGAAAAGACATAAGAAGTAAGCAGATCACAAGTTTTCAGGAGGGAGTTTAGTTTCAGAGTGTGTGTGTTTGGGGTAGGGGAGGTAGAACCCTCACTGAGTAGTTTTTATCTTGTCTAGACAGGTCTGATGAAAGATGGGGATAGGATTCTTATGATTCAATACTGAGTAACTGTTATCATGATGAATTGTGATTGTCATAACTGTAAAGGTAGAAGTTTTGTAACAAAAATGGGGGAGTAGTTAATCTAATCTTACAGTCCAGGAACAGAGGACCCTAGGACCATTGAGGGAGAAGAGCACGAGTGGAATGAGGGACCCTATCCAGAGAAGCAGCAACATCAGAGATGGAGGCAGAGATAAGGACATGGAGAGAGGAGCAGCTGAGGACTCTACTAGACACATGGAAAGAGAAAGGCTGTGTGCTGACAGCCAGGAGGCAAGCTTGCAGAATGTGCCCTTGGGTTGTTTAAATTATTATATATTCCTGATATAAAAAAAACAACAAGAAAAAAACAGATGGACTAGAAGGAAATACTATCGAATGATGATGCATGGAGGGGATTGTAATACTGCACTGACACAAAATACGATAAGATGAGTGTAAAACCGATGTTCTCCCATATAAACTATCCCTCAATTCACCATTAAAAAAAAAAAGAAGCAAGCATAGCAGTTCAGATGAGTAGCTTGGAAGCAAGTTATGTGTATATGAACAAGCCCAGGGAAAGCAATGAGACAAAAGAAACACAGGTTTTCTCAGGGTGGTGTGCCTGACTCGTGGCGACACCACACACAGTGGTCCTGTGTTGTCCCCACGATCAGTTGTGGATCGGACCTTTGTGATTCATGGGGTTTTCACTGGCTGATTTCTGGGGAAGTAGATGGTCATATCTTTCAAGTGCACATTAGTCTGAAAGCCTGCACTGACACATGGCTGGTTGGTGGCTCTGCAGGACATACGGTGGTGACGACTCGCATGCGAGTCGCCTGCATGAGATGTGAGAATTCACAACCAACTCCACCCACAACTGTTACATCAATTCCGACTCAGAGCAATCGGATAGGGCAGAGCAGAACTGCCCTGGAGGGTTTCTGAGAGTGGGCGTCTTATGGAAGCAGGCTGCCTCATCGTTCTCCCACAGAGCAGCCAGTGGGTTCAAACCACCAACCTCTCTGTCAGCAGCTCAACGTTTAACCCACTGTGCCATTAGATTGAGAACAGGTGACATCATTTGGCTTTACACTTTCTATTATTCCTACGTTGATAATGAGGGATACAACTTCACTAGGGCAGAGTCCCAGCGCATTCTGGACCCACCCGCCATGCCCCATGCAGACCCGCCAACCCCACCAGCCCTGGTCAGAGGGACCCCCGCAGGTGGCTCACCTCCCTCAGGGTTGTCAGTGTCCTCGTGTGCATAGTGACCTGCTTGGTGAGGTCCCTGTTGTCCTTCTCCAGCTCCTTCAGCTTGCTGGCTGCATCACGGCAGCGGGCTAGCTCCTTGTCCAGTGTGCGGTTCTCCCTCTCAGCCGCGGACAGCCTGCTGGTGCTCTCGTCCAGAACTGCATCCTTCAGCTCCACCTGCTGCCAGAGCCGCTTCGTCTCCTTCTCCAGCAACTTCCTGTCCTTCTCCAGCTGGGCCACCTCCTGCTCCAAGGCCTTCTTGTCCTGCTCCGATCTCTCCAGCTGCTTGCTGGAGAGCCGCAGAGTCTCCAGGTCTCTCTGCAGGCCCTGATTCTCTGCCTCCAGCTCCCGGAGTTCCCGCTCCAGGGCCTGCGACTTCTGGCTGCTGCTCTCCAGGCTCTGCTGCAGCCGCAGGTTCTCGGTGCTCACTCCCTGGTAGCTGAGCTCCAGGCGTTCCGACTTCTTACCCAGAGCCTTGAGCAGCTCCACATTCTTCCGCAGCTCTTCCTTCTCCTGCTGCAGCTCCTGGGTCTCCCTCTCCATCTGTGCCACCTTGGCACTGGTGAAGCGCAGCGTCTCCACCATCTTCCGCAGCTCCAGGTTCGCCTCGTCCAGCTGCTTGTTGTCGCGCTCCAGGCCCTTAAGCTGCGTCTGCACGTTCTGCAGGGTATCCAGAGACTTCCTCAGCTTCCGGTTCTCCAGCTCCAGCGCGTCGGCCTTCTCAGAGACGGGCGTCAGGGAGGCGGCCTGCTTGGCCAGACTCTGATTCTCCTTCTCCAGCCGGCGCAGTTCCTTCTCCAGCTCCCCGGCCCGCGCCACCGTCTCCTTCGCTTGCTCCAAGTCCCTTTGCAGCTGCTGCTTCTGGAACTCCAGCTGGCTGAGCTGGCTGCTGGTCTCCGTCACTGTCTGATGGAGGACCCTGTTCTCCTTCTCAACGTCCTTCACGCGGGCCTCACTGCTGACCTGTGACCTCTCCCGCAGAGTCCACACCACTTGGTTGAGATGATCTCTGTCTTGCTCGAGGTCCTTGATCTACAGGGGAATGGGACGGAACAACGCGGGATGTTTATTACATGCACATTCCAGTGGTTTAGGTGCAAACTGGGGCCTGGAAGAACCATCCTAGAATGTACCCACGAGCCATCTTGATATGGACCCCATGGCCTGATACAGACACAGGTAGGAGGGCTGAGAATGAATTATTCAGATGCTTCAAGTCAAAACATATTGACTGACAGACTGTAATCATTACAACGATTTGCTGAATGTAAAACTGGTCATCCGCCCTGGAAGCCTTCATTCACTCAATACACAATAAAAGCTCAGAAAAAAACAAGAGTGGTCAAGCAGGTAGGGAAGTGAGAGAAGTGAGAAAGTGGTCCCCATCTAAAGGGGGAAAACAATATTCAGGTCAGGGTGCAGAATTAACTTGAATACACATACATATTGACAGCAGCCAGCATGTGTTAATGTGGAAGCCACACCTCTCTCCCTCATTTACATCTTGCAGCGATTTCTCTCCGGTCTCCATCTTGGCTGGCAAGACCCTGTGACCTGTCTCCTGCTCACCCCTGCAGCCCCTTCTACTTCTACTTCCCAGCCTTTCCTGCTTCAGACACTTTGCACATGTGTCTAAATACTGTTCCAAGACCTCACGTGTCACTGTTCCCTCCACCTAAATACCATTCCAGGAGCTCACCTATCACTGACTCTTCACTCTGAAGGCTCAGTATAAGTTCTGCTGCCTCTCGGGAGCCGTGTGTGAAGATACCTAATTCTCTGCTTAAGCACCTTTACCCGTAACCTGCACTCACCTTGCTGGTTACCTTTTGGTTGTCTTCTATGCTATGAGCTACATGCAGGCAGAAATTCTATAAATCGGTTTACTACACATATTGCTCTTGTTGTCATGTGCTGTCGAGTTGATTCTGACTCTCAGCGACCCTGTATAGGGTTTCTGAGGAGCAGCTGGTGGGTTGAACTGCCAACCTTGCAGTCCAGTGCATTATCCTGCAGCGCCACACCAGGACTCTACACATGAAACCCGTTTTTCTTTACTGGGGGGAAAGGAATCACTAGAAAACGAAACCTGTTACTCTCAAGTCAGTTCCAGCCAGTGTTAAGAGAACAGAACTGAGCCCCTCAGAGCCTTCTTGACTATAACCCTACAGACCACCAGGGCTTCCTTATGTGGCACTGTAGGGGGAGCTCAAACACCAACCTTCTGGTTAGCGCTGGAGCACGAATAATTTAACCACCCAGAGACCTACTACATATGCTGAGAAACCAGAATACTAGACCTCCTCCTCCTCCTTTGCAGCTGGAGATTCTGTGTCAGCTCTGGTGAGTAAGCTGTCCACGGTGGGTTTTGGGAGGGTCTCCCCTGCCCTCTACTCCCTTCCTGTCCTTACTGTGGGGCACACATACAGCAGCCACAGAGGCAGGCTGGGGGTGCAGGGGAGGCTGGGAGAAGCCTGGGTCCTAGGTGCCATTTCAGAGCCTTCTGTCAGCACCGCTGCCTCCCCAGGACTTCCTTTATTTGTTGAGGCAAATAAAGCCCCACGGGCTTGCAGCCGCCACACTATGAGCCCCTGGGAAACGTCTGCTGTGGGTCTGTGGATTGTTCTCTATTATGGGGACTGTCCTGTGCATCACAGGATGTCCAGCAGCATCCCTGACCTCTACCCATTCGATGCCAGTAGCAACCCCCCCACCCTCCCCCAATCAGGAGGATCAGAAATACCTCCAGACATGGCCACGTGTCCTGGGGGAGGGGAGGGTCAATGCTGGGTGAAAGTCACTGGTTTCAGTGACAGTAACGTCAGCCAACTGGTAACCCATGATTCCCCGGGTTAGTGAGTAGGCAAGGGCTAGGGGCCTTCACCAGGGCCCCTGCAGGAGGCCGGAGTTGCGGGCAACAGCTCCTCCGAAAGCGCCCACCTGCCTGGCTCGGTCCGCCTTCAGTAGTTCCATGTCGCTCTGTAGCTGCTCCTTCTCCCTGATGAGCTCCTCGCTCAGCGTCTCCAGGTCCTGGTTACTCTGCTTCTCCCTCTCCAGCTGGCTCTGTAACTTCTCAACCTGCACAGCCTGAGCGTTAGTCTCAGAACTCGGCCGGCATTACAAAGTAAAACGTGAATTTCTTACACACACACACACACACACACACACACACACACACACCCCGAAGCCTTTTTTCAACAATGGGCTAACCACTGGATGAAAAGGTTGGTGGTTCAAACCCACTAGTTACTTGGAGGGAGAAAGACGAGGCAGTCTGCTCCCGTAAAGATGGTTGTTACTGTTAAGTGCTGTCGAGTTGGTTCAATTAATAGGTTATGACTTATTCCGACCAGTATAGGGTTTCCGAGGAGCAGCTAGTGAGCTTGAGCAGCTGACCTTGTGGTTAAAACCGACCTTGCAGTCCAGCCTTGGAAACCCTATAGGGTAAGTAGGACTTTCCTCCAAGGTTACTAGTGAGTCGGAATTGTCTCAGAAACAGTAAGGTCAGGTTTTTCTCCAGGAAACACTGTGCTGACTTTGTGTTGTAGTCACCCCCCAGCACCCCAACTGTCTACAGTTACCCAATGACTCAGCTCTTCCTCTTTGGCACAGGCCTGTAGACCCTCTCTGCTCAGCTTCCTGCGGGCTGGTCCCCCAGCCATGTGCTCAGTTATCCTCTGGGTCTTGTGTGTCTACCTCCCATCTTCTCCATCCCATGGGTCAGAACCACACACTGCGGACCCACCCGACATCACCACTGGATGTGACACGGAGAGCTGAGGACCAACTTCAGTACCTCTCAGCCACTGCCCACCATAGAATCTCCTACTCGGAGACCTGGTCACTATGCACCATGCACACAATAATTACTGAACCCTTCGGAGCCACTTCAAAGCTCTGGTCTGTAGACCCAACCTCTACTCAGGTGAAGGGCTGCCTCACCTCCTGGACCTGCAGGTGCGTGTGTGACCTCAACCCTCTACAGAGGAAGTGGCCAGGCCAGCTTCTCCCTGACAAGCTCATGGACAAGCCTCTACCAGGCAGGGAGAGAGGGTCCCACAGGGCTGGGCTAACAACCCTGCTCTCTACTACGTCAGAACATGGACATACACAGGCCTAAGCCGGATCTGGTCCTTTTTCCCGTGAAAACAGCTTTCCTGACCTTTCTGTGTCTGCCGATTCCTGCACAAGGCCAGGTACCTAGCTGGAAGCCAGATTTCTCCTTTGGTGACAGGGCCAACCTCAGAGAGGATGTGAGGAGTAAAGACAGCAAGTGCTCTTGGTTCTATGAGTCACCGTTGTTCAGAGAGGCTGAGCCATTTCCCCCAGCCTCTAGTGAGGAGGGGACAGAGTGAGGTGTGCCGCCTTGACCCCCAGAGCTGGACGGCCCAAGATCTCTTCTGAGCCCACAAGCCCAAGCTCAAGTCCAGGCACTGCAATCAGTAAGATGACCAGAGGCGTGTGGTCCCACCTTCAAGTCCTAAGAGAGGGAGCCAGATCACCTCTGCTGTTGAGGCAGACCCCAGTCAAGCCCAGGGGTGGAAGTGTGTGTCTCAGGGCAGGGCTCAGAGAGTAGGCTCAGGGACTCCCTGAAACCAGGAGATGAATAAGAAAACCAGGGTGTCGCCCATCTACTTCTTGGCACCCGGGACGTAGCCCACAGGGCTGGAGAAGAAGGTGGAAGCTTTGGCCCAGGGATTTGAAAGGAAGTGGGATGGAGAGCTAAGAGAGCAGGCAAACATGGTGCCAACCACACCCACTGCCAACGTCTATGTCTAGAGGAGGGCGAGGGGGACCACTGAGAAGCATGAGCAGCCACCTCAAAGGTCACTGGGTGGCAACCCACAAAGTCTCCAAGCAGACAGACAATATTGCAGGCTTTCCGTAGTGGGGCCAGGGGACCTTAGAGGAGGTGGTTCTCATCTTTCTAAAGGTCAATTCTTTCTTATCTCAGCCAGTGGTGGCCTGCTATTCATGAAAACACTTCCTGTGCCAGGCCCACGCATCTCTCAGCAACAAATAGGCCAGCTCCGCTCCTGGCTGCACCATCACATGTGGCACGAGCCTGAGGGGTTTCCAACTGTCCTTAAGAGAGAGGAGAAACTGGGTGCTGCATGGCACACACGCTACTGCTATAGGGCAGGGAGAGCCGCCAAGCCTGGGAGGTCCCACGTGGGGGATGACACCACATTACAGAAGGGAGTGTGTCTTTGCTGCAGCCTCCTGTCCACCCTTGGTGGTGCTGGGAAGACCTCAGGCGAGGTGGGAGGGACCAGCCAAGCTCCTGGAAGTGCAAGCCTGCTCCTACCATCCAACCACCCCAAAGGAGATGGGCCTGCCACGGGCCATGGACCAGCCCTGGCCTCTCAGACAGCACTGCCCACGTGACAGAGCCTCGGCCTGTCCTCTCAACATCCAGGTTCTACTGAGTGACGGAGAAGATCTGGTAGCTGTCAGCTCAGGTGCCTCTTCTTCCCATCCCATAAACTCAGGGGAGGGAGTGTGCACAGACTCTCTTGTTTTACAACCAGAGAAGCACTACACAGTCCTTCCATGATTCCACACACATGCAGGCACAGAGGTGGACGTGAACCACGGACCCGCAGAACTCCCACTGGAGTCAGGGACACGGCTGCTCCCCCTCCTGCATCCCAGGTGAAGCATCCATAGTTCATAGCGCCAACTCACGGAGCGTTTCCCGTGTGCCAGACCCTTCATCTTTCCTACCCACTGGTATCGAGTCGATTCCGACTCACAGCGACCCTACAGGACAGAGAGCAAGTGCTCCTGAGTGTTTCCAAGGCTGTAAAAACCTTTACAGGAACAGAATTTCACCTTTCTCCTGGTGGGTTCAAACTGCCAGCTTTGCAGTCAGCAGCCCAACGTTTAACCACATTGGCTTACATAATTCTCACAGCACCTCTTTGGAGGGTGCCCCTTCATCCACACGTCACAGATAAATGCAGCCACCCAGCTAAGTGACATGCGCAGGCAGTGAAGCAGGAAGCAGGCTCTTTCTCCCACCCCATCTCTGGCTCGGCTCCTTGCTACAGAGAACTGGGACTCCAACTGACCATGGGAGCACCCTGCCCAGCCCCTGCCCTCCTGGACTTACCTTCTTCCCCAGCTGCTGCTTTTCCTTCTCCAGCTCCCCACACTTGAGGCCGCTCTCCTCCAGTGCCAAGGACGCATCCCGCAGGCCCTGGATGGTGCTCTGCAAGCCCTGGTTCTCCTTCTCCAGCTTCAGGATGCGGCTGGATGCACATTCGTTCAGCTCAAACACAAATGACTTCCTAGAGGCTGAGGTACAAAGGGGTCAGGGTCCAGCGCTGGGGGGCTGAGGCTGCCCTCTCCCCAACCAGAGACGCCACCAACCCCCAGGCTCCCTGAGGCATGATGCACCCCGGTATGGACTGTGTCCTCCTAAAATCGGTGTTATAAACCCTAATCCCTATTCCTGCAGTTATACTTCCATTTGGGAATAGGGCCTTCTGTTAATGTTGATGAGGCCATAGGGTTTCCAAGGAGCTGTTAACCTTGTAGTTAGCAGACCAGTGCTTAGCCTACAGTGCCACACTAGGACTCCATACCAGTGCAGAGGGTGTTCTAAGATGACCACTTCTGAGATCTATAAAGAGCAGATTGGGCACAGGAGGCCACACGAAGATTCCCAAGAAACAGAAGCTGAAAAAGACCAGCATTTGCCCAAGAAACAGAAGCTGAAAAAGACCAGCATTTCCCCCAAAGACAACAGAGCCTTCCTCTAGAGCAGGGGTGGGAATGACCAAGGCAACTCTAAATTCAATAATCTAGCAACTTTTTTTCATAGCAACATAAATTCATATTAAGTGATGGTATAGATACCCAAATGGCCCTTGGCAGAAAAAAGGTTCCCCATCCCTGCTCCGGTGCCAGCACCCTGAACTCAGACTCCAGCCTCTTAAACTATTAAAGAAAATAAATGTCTGTTCCTTGAATCCACTCACGTGTGGTAATCTATTACATCAGATCCAGATAACAAAGATGCCCACTTTGGCGGTTCAAACTCACCAGCCAGTCCTTGGAAACCCTATAAAGGGTGGCTAAGAGTCAAACAACTCTACAGCACTTAACAGCCTCAACAACCCTAAAATAACAAAACAAACAAAAAACAGTTGCCATCAAGTTGACTCTAACTGAAGGCGTCCCCGTGTGTGTCAGAGGAGAACAGAGCTCCACAGGGTTCTCAGTGGCTGAGTTTTCATAAGTAGATTCCACTCATGGTGCCCCCGTGTGTGTCAGAGGAGAACTGTGCCCCACAGGGTTCTCAGTGGCTGAGTTTTCATAAGTAGATTCCACTCATGGTGCCCCCGTGTGTGTCAGAGGAGAACTGTGTTCCTCAGGGTTCTCAGTGACTGGTTTTTCAAAAGTAAATCCACGTGTGTCAGAGGAGAACCAACTGTACAAAAACCACAGAGTTTTCAGTAATTTTTCAGAAGTAGCTCTTCTGAAGTTCTCTGAAGTGGACTCAAACCTCCAACCTTCCAGCTAGTAGCCGAGCATGTTAATGTTTTGCAGACATCCAAGACACCAAGGAGAGCAAAACTAAAAACTCAAACCGACTGCTGCTGAGTCGATTCCAATGGCCCCAGAGTTTCGAGACTGTAAGTCTTCAGGGAAGCAGACTGTCTCATCTTTCTTCCTTACAGCAGCTGGTGGGTTTGAACCACCTACCGTTAGGCTAGCAGCGCAACACTTAACAGCCCCAGAATTCCAGACAGGATTCTATAAAGACCCCAAACGATGAGGCAGACTGAGTAGCAAGAGGGCTGAACTGTGTCTGTGACCCCCACCCAATCCCAGCACCTACACACACAAGGCCCGCACTCCCTCAAATAGGAAAATGCTTTGAGGACTTCGTCGTGACTAATTACACATGAAATGGCTCCACAGCTTTCTAGGCCGTATCCTTCAGGGTAGTCATTCGATGGACTGAGGAGTTCGGGGGGAGCTGTAGGGATAAAGACACTGAGGTCCAATCAGTGCCTCTGGGTGGGTTCAAACCACCAACATTTTGATTAGCAGGAGAGCACTTAATTGTGGTACCTCCAGGGCCCCTTCACCTTAGTCTGTGCCAAGTTACTGCGAGAGTCAGTTCCAACTCATAACACACTACCGCAGAACAGAAGGAAACGTGGCTTAGCCCAGCACCATCCCCGTAAGCGTCACTACGTTTGAGTTTTTTGTCGCAGCCACAGTATGAATTCACTTTGATGAAGGTCCTCCTTTTTTTGCTAACCCTCTATTGTACCGAGCATAATGTCCTTCTCCACGGATTGGTCCCTCCTACCAAAGTGCCCCAAGGAGCTCTGGTAGCGCAGTGGTTACAAATCGGGCTGCGAACCTCAGGGTCAGCAGTTTGAAACTACCAGCTGTTCCATGGTAGAAAGATGAAGCTTTCTGCTCCCGTAAAGATTTACAGCCTCGGAAACCCTGTACAGGATCACTATGAGTCAGAACCGACTCCATGGCACATAACAACAACATCAAAGTGCCCCAAGTAAGAGAAACAGTCTCGCCATCCTTCCATCTTAAAAAGCATTCTGGCTGTACTTTTTCCAAGATAGATTTGTTTGTTCTTCTGGCCATCTATGGAACTTTCAATATTCTTCACCAACAACACAATTTAAATGAATCAATTCTTCGTCAATCTTCCGTATTCATGGTCCAGCTTTCACATGCATATGAGGTGATTGAATATATCATGACTTGGGTCAGGCGCACCCTAGTCCTCAAAGTGACACCTTTGCTTTATAACACTTTAAAGAGGTCTTTTGCAGTAAAATTGCTCAGTGCAATGTACTGTTGGATTTCTTGACTGTTGTTGCCATGGTGTCAATTATAGATCCAAGTAAAATGAAATCCTTGACAATGTCAATCTTTCCTCTGTTTACCATGATTTTGCTTATTGGTCCACTTGCGAGGACTGTGTTTTATGTTGGGGTGTGCAGTGCAGTAAATTGTTTGATATGACCCTTCTATAGTCTTTGTAACTCCCAGCAAATGACTGGGTGGTTGTTGTTGTCGTTAAGTACCGTGGAGTCGGTTCCGACTCATAGCGACAGGGTTTTCGAGGCTGTAAATCTTTATGGGAGCAGAAAGCCTCATCTTTCTTCTGTAGAACAGCTGGTAGTTTCAAATTGCCAACCTTGAGGTTAGAAACTAGACTCATAACCACTATGTTAGGAGTCCTGGTGTGGTGCTGTGTGCTAATGCATCACACTGCAAAGTTGTCTGAACTGCAAGGTCAGTGGTTCAAGCTCACCAGCTGCTCCCTGGAAACCCTATAGAGGGTCGCTATGGGTTGGAATCGACCTGACGGTACTTAACAAAAACAATCAGAGCTCCTAAATGACTTGGTAGAGCTATGTAAATTTGAGATACTTGTGGTCCACTCAGGGGACTAGATAGCTTGCTAACAATGCAAATAAGGGGCATGGTACTCTTACAGGATGGGACCGTGTGAATAAAGTGTACGGAAGCCTAAGATGGGACATGGTTAGTTTTGCCAACCTGCTAGATTTAAAATGAACCACCCCAGAGATGAAGAGGAGGGAACTCCCATCAGGTAAGGCGAGCCAGGGGTGGAGTGTGTCCTCTGGACCTGAGATCCAGGGGCTGAATCAACTTGGTCCAAGAGACAGAGAGCTGTGACACCAGAGAAGGCAGGCAAGAGGTGGTGGCAGAGGGATGGCAGCAGCAGAGGAAGCAGAGCTCGACTCGATGGCAGTGGGTTTGGAGTGGCATAAATGGTCACGTGTTTGGCTACTAGTCAAAATACTGGCGGTTCAAATCCACTTAGAGACTCCTTAGGACAAAGACCTCTGAAAACTCAGCCACTGAGAACCTTGTGGAGCTCAGTTCTCCTCTGACACACACAGGGCGCTATGAGAAGAATCTACTCATGAAAAATCATCCACTGAGAACCCTGTGGGGCTCTTTTCTACTCTGACACACATGGGGGCACTATGAGAGGAATCTACTTATGAAAACTCACCCACTGAAAACCCTGTGGAGCATAGTTCTCCTCTGACACACACGGGGGCGCCATGAGTGGAATCTACTTATGAAAACTCATCCACTGAGAACCCTGTGGAGCTCAGTTCTACTCTGACACACACAGTGGCGCCATGAGAGGAATCTACTTATGAAAACTCATCCACTGAGAACCCTGTGGGGCACAGTTCTCCTCTGACACACACGGGGGCACCATGAGAGGAATCTACTTATTAAAACTCATCCACTGAAAACCCTGTGGAGCATAGTTCTCCTCTGACACACACAGGGGCGCCATGAGAGGAATCTACTTATTAAAACTCATCCACTGAAAACCCTGTGGAGCATAGTTCTCCTCTGACACACACAGGGGCGCCATGAGTGGAATCTACTTATGAAAACGCATCCACTGCGAACCCTGTGAGCACAGTTCTCCTTTGACACACACGGGGGAGCCATGAGTTGGAACTGACTGTATGGCAAATCTCTTTCTCTCTCTTTTTTTTTTTTAAAGCTAGGCACTAGGGGCTAAAAATACTTTTTTTTTTTTTTAAACAACATAAAAGACAACTATATAAATGGACCTCACCAGATGGAATATACAGAAAGCAAACTGACTACATCTGTGGAAAGAGACAGTGGAAAATCTCCGTATCATCAGCCAACACAAGGCCAGGGGCAGATTGTGGAACAGACCATCAAATGCTCATATGTGAGCTCAAGCTGAAGAAAATGAAAACAAGTCCACAAGAGCCAAAATAGCCTTGAACATATCCCACCAGAACTGAGACCAGTGCAAGAACAGATTTGATGCATTAGACACCAATGACTGAAGACCAGAAGAGTTCTGGGATGACATGAAGAACATCATACAGGAAGAAAGCAAAAGGTCATTAAGAAGACAAGAAAGAAGGAAAGGATCAAGAACAAGGGAACCTGTATATTCAAACAGCCAAGGAACATGGAATGGTTTTAATGTAGGAAAGGTGTGCATCAGGCTTATAGTCTGTCACCATACTTAGTCTGTATGCTGTGTACAAATAATCTGAGTAAGTGGATTACATTAAGAAGCATGTGGCATCAGGATTGGAGGAGGACTCATTAGCAACCTGCTATATGTAGGTGACACACCCTTGCTTGCTGAAATCGAAAAGGACTTAAAACACTGCTGAAGATCAAAAACCAAAGTCGTTGGCATGGGTTGCACATCACTGCAAAGAAAACAAAACTCCTCACCACTAGATCAATAAACAACATCCATATAAATGGAGAAAAGATTGAAGCTGTCAGAGATTTCATTGTGCTTAGATCCTCCATCAACACCCATGGAAGCAGCAGTCAAGAAGTCAAACAATGCATATTACATTAGACAAATCTGCTGCACAAAACCTCTTTAAAGTGCTGAAGAGTAGACGTCAGTTTGATGACTAAGGTGCACCTGACCCAAGTCATGGTATTTTCAATCACCTCATATGTATGTGAAAGTTGGATGGTGAATAACGAAGGTTGTAGAAGAATTGACACATTTGAGTTATGGTGTTGGAGAAAAATATTAAAAGTACCATAAACAGGCAAAAGAACAAACAAATCTGTGTTGGCAGAAGTACTGCCAGATGCTCCTTAGAAGCCAGGATGGGGAGACTTCGTTTCTCATACTTTGTCTATATTGTTAAGAGGAACCAGTCCCTAGAGAACGACATCATGGTTGGCAAAGTGGAGGGTCAGTGAAACAGAGGAAGACCCCCAGTGAGGTGGCAGCATCAGTGGGCTCAAGTGTAGCAATGATTGAGGATGGCGCAGGAGCAGCCATTGTTTTGTTCTGTTGTGCATAAGGTACCGACTCGACGGCACCTGGCAATATCAACAGGGGCTGGGAACACCAAGACTACATCATGGTCACTGAGCTTCGAAGGATCACAAAATGTACTCAACTGTCTTAATTGGAGAGGGTTTCTGACCCCACCAGCCACGATGGCCTTGAAGTCAAACAGAAATCCTGGCATGATTTGATCTTGGCTCAAAGCAGAGTGCACCACAATTGTGCTCCACCAGGGGGCACTGGTCTCCTCATCACTCTGTCCATCCTAGTTTCACCCTCAGGCCCCAGCAGAGGGGGTTCATAGGCACCAAAGCACAGAGCCAGCTAACTTCACACGGATGAATAGTTTACTTAATAAACTTATTTTAGGTTTGGAACTAACAGAACTCCTTAAAGAAAAGACAAGAGTATTCAGCTGCTTCCACAACCTTTCCATTAGGCACTGCGATGTCTATCAGAATAAAAAAACAAACACCACTGGAAAAATAAGCCAGAAGCATTTGCTCTACAAAGCTTGCAGTCAATATTCACTTGCACCATCAGGTGGGCTATTTTAGGACACAGGAATTGGCTCATTGTTTGCCTGAGCTGAAGCTTCCTGCCGACCCGGCCCCACCTACCATTCATGGGACTGACACCCTGTCTTGGGGTGCTGCCAGTGAGGAGGGAAAGTGGACAGGCAAGCAGCTTGTCAGGAAACCAAGGTCTCAGGAGAGGAGCCCTCACATCTCCCACCCAGACTGTGTCCATCGTCCGCAGTTAGGCAAAGAAGAAGAAATCACACCCAGGGCCCATTTATGGTGGGGTCAGTGACCGCTGGGGATGCCGTCTACTGTAGCATGCAGCACTTGGGCTGCTCTTGGGCAGCCACATGGGACCGAGGGCCTGGAAACACTCGATCTATTCATCACGTGCCAAGAGCCAGGCTGTCAGACCCCACATTTTCCTTTGGGGTGCCCTGTCATGGAACAGCTCCACAAGGCACTGAGGTGGCTGGCATGGAAGATTCGGGAAGAGGGCTAGGCCCAGGGTGAGACAGAAGCTGTGCCCGGGTCCCTGACACGACCCACCGTCAGACAGGTCTGCGTTCTTGGACATCTGCTCCAACTCCCAGCCCAGGTGCACGGACTCGTTCATGCTCTGCTTCTGCGCAATCTCCAGGACCATGTTCTCTTCCAGCAGCTCCTCGATCCGCTTCTTGTCTGTGTCCCTGTCCTAGGGCCCGAGAGGAGAGACTCAGGAGGTGGGCTGGGGTCCCTCAGGGAGGCCCACCCCTTGTCCTGGGGCCAGAGGGAGAGAGTGAGGAGGTGGGATAAAGTCTCTCAGGGATGCCCCAGAGGGAGGAGGGAAAGAAAGAATAAAGATGTGGGCTAGGGACCCTCAGGGAGGCCCCTCCTGTCCTAGGTAGGAAGAAGAGGCTGGGCTCCCTCAGTGAGGTCCAACTCCCCATCCCAGGGCCAGAGGGAGACAGTGAGGATGTGCTTGGAGACTCTCGGGGGGGGGGGGGGCCTGCCCCCCCTATATCCTCTGAGGGTCCAGGAACTGGATACCCTGTTTGCTCCACATAAGCAGAGCTGCACAGAGGCTCCCCTGTCGCAGGCCCGGCTGTGAAGTCTGTCGCCATCAATTCTGATTATATCACGTCTGCGTGTGCAGAGAATGGCCCCCTAGGCTTTTCAAGGCTGTGACCTTTTGGGAGCACTCACCAGGCCTGGCTTCTGAGGCCCCCCCTGGATGGATTTAACTATCAACTTTTCAGTTCGTGGTCAGGCGCTTAACCATTCACGCCAGCCAACACCCATTAAACAGCCTCCTCTATTAAGTGAGAGATTGGAGGTTTGGGACTACTCAGCGGCACCTCCCAAACAGGCCTGGGTTTTGATGCTTGTGGAACACAGTTCCATATGACAGTGGGGGCAACTGGGGGTTCAAATCAACAGTGCTGGTGCGGTGCTGTGGGATCAGCATCGGACTGCAAACCACAAGGTCAGCAGATCAAACCCACCAGCCGCTCCACAGAAACCCTATATAAGGGTCGCTGTGAGTCAGAACTGACTCGACAGCACTTAACAACCACCACCACCACCACCTGGTATGGGACTGCAGGTAAGTACTGGACTACTAACTGCAAGGTCAGCAGTTCAAACCCACCAGCTACTACTCAGAAACCATATACAAAGTGGCTATAAATTGGAACTGACTCAGTAACACTTAGCAACACCCACCATTATAAAGAGTCTGGGTGGTACAAGAGGTTTGTAATCAGCTGATCTAAAAGTGGGATGTTCAAACCCACCCAGAGGTGTCCTGGAAGAAGGCGTAGGCTTCGGCTTCTATGAAGATTTTGTTGTTATGTGCTGTGGAGTCGGTTCCAACTCATAGCAACCCTGTACAGGGTTTCCGAAGCTGTAAATCTTTACAGGAGCAGAAAGCCTCATCTTTCTCCTGTGGAACAGCTGGTAGTTTCCAACTGCTGACCTTGCAATTCACAGCCCGACTGGTAACCACTATGCTACCAGAGCTCCTCACAGCCAAGCAAACCTATGGAGCAGCGCCACCCTGAGGGCAGGAGGTGGCCAGGAGTCAAAGGGGCTGCATGACAATGGGCTTGAGTTTGGGAAGAATTCCCCAGATTAGGAAGAGAGACTCAAGGTCTCTAATGAAATATTATCTATATACAATGACAGCCACCAGGGCTAGACTCATGAGCCACAATTAATCCATACGGTAAATGCCAGCAGAGCCCCTCTTGACCAACACCCCCATGTACGTTCATCCCTACAGACAAGCAACAGAGAAGGTGGCCTGCTCTGTTTTGTGGGTGCTGAGGGCTGTGCTCTCCAGCCACTCCCTGAAGGTCACTTCAGCAGCAGCTGCTATAGGACATCCGGTATAAACCGGAAGCTGCCCCCAGCTGCATATCCCCCTCAACGTGCTAAGTGTGAGGTGGGAAATACCAATTCCAAGTCATGTAGCTTAGATTTCAGCTGCAGGTTCTCCTTCTCCAGCTCGTGAACTTTATCACCGCGGGCCCGGGCCGCCGTCAGCTGCTCCTCCAGCATGCCTTTGGTCTCGATTAGGATGATATTGTCCTCTCTCAGCTCCTGGGCGACAGAAACACACCAGAGAACCATCAGATAACAGGGCCAGCATTCCACAGCCAGAGCACAAAGGGGGCCACCTGGGTCCAAACCAATCCTCAAGGGATTAGCTCTGTGCAGAAAGTTGTCTCCACATTTATCCTCATCACCTTTGTCAACAGGCCCAAAGACTTTCACTACTGAAAGGACAAATCCATGAATGGAGAAAACATTCCAATCCGGGGCAGCAACACTCACTCAGTGCCTACCATCTACCAGGAAAGGTCCTGAAGAGTTTCACATACTCTTGTGTCAGACAAGTGGCCTCTGCTTATGGATACAGGGCCTCTCTGAGTCCCAGCTTCCTCATCAAGGAAGGGGTGATGCCAAGAGTCTGTCCAGGTTTGAGGTCTGAGTCTAGTCTTCTCAACTCAACATTCATTCTCCTGGGTCCTGGTCCCAGAAACAATGGCTACTCCAGATACACTTTCACAGAAAATGGTTCCTATTCGAACATTTCACACACAGGCTCTGGGGAAGACAAAGTTTCTTGACAGTTTCCCCAAAATGGGGTGTCTCTAAGGCAGCATGGCAAACCAGCCATGAGTTTGGATGGTCAGCCTGCAGTGTGCTAGCAGGAAACAGTGGACAGTCCCCGGAAACCCCCTTGTGGGAGAGGAGTCCACTGGATGCTTTAACCTGGTCACAGGCCACCAGCAGCACCAGGGAGCAATTCCATCTGCTCAGCACATGTCTCCTTCACCCTTCAATGCTAGAGGATGAGGGTACCTTCCTGGCCCCACTCAGCAGTGTGGTGGACTGAGCTTTCCTGAGTGCTTCTCAGTTTATGGTACACACACAATACACACACACACACACATACACACACCAGGCATCTAAGCTGAGGGCACTTTCCTGGCCTCCATGCATACAACACATCCCTTTTCCCCACCCACCTACCCACCTCTGGGCATCTGAGGGTTCCTTCCAGCAGGGAACCTTTTTCTAAGGCTTTCTGTAGTGACGGGTTCTAATATGGGGATTGGGCTGGACATTCCTGCTTGTCTACTTCTGGCTCATTTTCCCCAGATGCAGGCCAGAATTCTGAATTCTTGGTCAGTGGAACATCTGGGATTAAAGGCTGGCACCAGATGAAGTGTGGTCATCGACTCAGGGTTCACCTGTGCACCTTCCTCTGCTGTCTGCTCTACAGACACTAGGTGCTCTGTATTCCAGCTCACACTCCACGACGGCCCTGAGAGGGACAGTCCCCTCTCACGGATGAAGAGACTGACTCATTGGTTGGTTCAAAGTGTGGTGAGACCTGGGGACTCAAGCCCATGGACAAGGACATAGCCACAGAGGGCTAGAGCTGAAAGTGAAGCATCCAGCTGCAGTGAAGTGAGAGGAGATGCACAAGAACACCCAACACCTTCCAGACAGTACCCATTTGACCTAGCCTCGATGGCTTGATGACCAGAGCCTAAAGAGAGGAAGATAAATTTGATACAGGAAGCAAGTGTAAATTGCTACAATTTGATTAACTTGACCTTTACTTATGGACATAGTAGCTCAAAATATCAACTGAGAGGAAAGGAGTTTATACATCAAGGATCAAGCTTATCCCCTCAGTATACAGGGTTGATAGGGATAGACAACTTAGACATTGGCTACCTGAAATGAGGGGGCTATAAAGGCATGAAGTGACTGGCTTACAAGTTTTCAAGAGGGAGTTTATAGTTTCAGAGTGTGTGGGGGAAGGTACAGTCCCCACTGAAGAGTTTTCATCTTGTCTAGACAGGTCTGCTGAAAGGAGATGGGGATAGGATTAATATGATTAATAGTAAGTGTTATCATGACTAATTATGACTGTCACAACTGTGAAGGGAGAAGTTTTGTAACATAAAAGGCGGAGTTAATCTTACATTCCAGGAACAGAGGACCCTAGGATCATCAAGGGAGAAGAGCATGAATGGAATGTGGGATCCTAACCAGAGAAGCAGCGACACCAGATATGGAGGCCGTGATGAGGACATGGAGAGATAGAGCAACTGAGCACTCTAGACTCATGGAAAGAGAAAGGCTGTGTGCTGGCGGCCAGGAGGCAGGCGTGCAGAATGCGCCCTTTGGTTGTTTTCATGACTATATATTCCTGAGTGTTTCTGTGTACATTAAAACCCTCCCCAAAACAAAACAGAGGGAATAGAGGCAAATACTGTTAACCAATGATTCAATGATGCATGCAGGGGATTGTAATCATTGTAATGAAACAAAATACGATAGGATGAGGGAAAAACCTATGTTCTCCCATGTAAACTATCACTCAATTCACAATAAAAGCTTAAAAAATAAAAAAGAAGCAAGCCTCAAAGTCACAACCTCACAGCAAGTGGCAAAGCTGTGGGGTGAACATAGGTCCATAGAGATCCTGACCTTAGGTCTCTACCCTGCCCTCAGCTGTCCACAGACCCTTCTCACAGGGCTCGTGTGAGTAAGAAAGCTCCAGACTGCTACTCACCACAGACCAAAAATGTCGAGGACGTCAAAGGAGAACAAAGTCCAGCCAGTCTAACCACCAGCATGCCCCAGAATCACCATATTCTCAGGTGTCCTGTTCACACAGCACAGTCTGCCCCTCCATCCTACAACCAACTCCTATGTATCCTTCAAAACCCAACCTGTGCTGCCCCACTGTACTCCCTAGTCCACCCACCCCAGCTGGGCCCACTCCCCTGAGATTGTGAACTTCTTTCTCGAGGGTGGGAGGGAAGGCTGCTTCATTTCTGCTCTGTGAACCTTGTGCAAGTGTTCAGGGACAATCACGCGCCTGAATCACGTGCCAAGTGGATGGCTCAGAGGTGGCGTGTGAGGCAGATGCTCAAGGACTGAACATGCTAACAGGCAGGAATGGGCAAGGGCACCAAGAACGAACATGGTAGGGAAATGGATGGTCCCACCTACTGTCCAAATGAGCCTGCTTCCAACTTCAGTCACATGGACTGCCTGGCCCACCACCTCCTGAGATAGGTCTGAAGAAGGCATCACCCACAAGCCCAGGACCACGGTTCAGCTGGACACCAGCTTAGAGACCTGAGAAGCCATCTCATCCCTCCAGGCAGCAGCCCAAAGCCAGCCCCACCCCTGCCCTGACCCCAACTGAACCCAGAGCTATTTAAAGCCTGCCCCAGCCCAGGGAATTCCAAGGCGGGGCAGGGTTATAAAGACCTGGGCTGGACGTGAGGATTGACCCTAGCGGTGTGAGAGCTGTGACCAGCACATTGGGCTCTGGTCCTCCAGGTCAACACACACATCAGCAGTGGGACCCGAGGCTGTTCACACCCCTCACACGGTTTCCTCTTGCCTAAGATACACATGAAGACAGGGTCCACGTGGGGATCAGATGAGATACCAGTTGCGTCCACTCTGACTCACTGGGACCTGTCAGAGGAAGGATACCATGTGAAGCTACTGCTGCAAACCAAGGGGCATCTGGGGTCCCCAGAAGTGGGGCAGAAGCAGGTTCTCCCTCAGAGTCTCAGAAGGGACTAACACAGTCCCTGCTCGGAGACCCAGCCTTTAGGACTTCAAGACAACGTGTTTCTGTTCTCACAAAATGTCCAGCTTACGGCACTGAGAAATGATGCTGGAGATCACACAACAGAATTTGCAAGACCAATGACTCGTCCATTGCAAGTATCTTTTTAAACAACATAAAAGTCATGCACATGGACCTCACCAGATGGAATGCACAGAAATCAAACTGATTACATGTATGGAAAGACACAAGCTCCCCATCATCAGTCAAAGCAAGGCCAAGGGCAGACTGTGGACCACACCATCATCCATTGCTCCTATGCAAGTTCATGCTGAAGCTGAAGAAAATGAAAACAAGTCCACGAGAGCCAGAATACGACCTTGAACATATTCCACCTGAATTTAGAGATCATCTCAACAACAGATATGATGCATCAGACACTCGTGACTGAACACCAGAAGAGCTGTGGGATGACATCAAGACCATCACACATGAAGAAAGCAAAATGTCTTTAAGAGGACAAGAAAAAAGGAAAAGATCACATGGATGCCAAGCAGAGCCAGGACCAGGTAGTGTCTCATTCAGTTGTGTGTAAGGTCCTCGTGAGTCAGTACCGATTCGACGGCACTAACAACTATATTCACCTATTTATCCCACTCTTTCCAGCTATTATTCCAGGTTTCTCTGTTGAGATGATCTCTAAATTCAGGTGTTTATTTTAGTGTATTTCAAAGTAAGTTGCAGGTATCAGTATAGCAAGGCAGTCAGTCCCTCAGAAAAGCTCCAAGCAGCGGGGGAGTGGGGGCCGCTCGTTTTAATCATCCTACACGGACAGACTACCACAAGCCCTGTCTAGGAGGAGTGTCCATGTGTCCTGTCACAAAACCCAAGAAGAACTGTGTCTCTGCTCTGTTGTGGCCTGGACTCAATGGAGCCGGTCCTGTTCCTAGCCCATGTTGGCTGCTCAGTGTGTGCAAACCCGCCTGCGCATCCTGGCTGCCTGAGGAACTGTCTCTGAAGTATATATACATGCTGTCTCTTGTCATCAGTAAAATTCACAAAAAACTCAAAACATGGCTAACCTCACGGCCCATTTCCACCATGCAAATGATTCAACGTGAAGAGTTACGTGCCATCGAGTCGTTTCTAATTCAGCCACGTTGTGTCGGGTGGATAAAAACAGTACTGTAACACAGAGCCCAGGTGGCACAATGCTTAAAGCACTTCCCTGCTAACTACAAGATCCAAGGTCTGAACCCACCGGCTGCTCTTCAGGATAAAGTCCTGGCTATGTGTTCCCATGTGACCCAAGGACCCACAATGACAACAGCAATCACAACACAGAGTCTATTACTCAATGGAGTCGTGTGGAAAGGGACCCCAGGCTCAGAAAGGCTGGGCACCCCTTGACCAGCCTGGAAGCTCCTTGGATGTTTGGCTCTGGACTCCCTGCTCGCAGCGCACAGAAGCTGAGAAAGCTGTCTGCAGGTCTGAGCAAGGCTGCGTGGACAGGGCAGCAAGGAACATAGACCCGCCAGAGTGCTAGGATGAGAGGTGGATGTTACCCCCATTTGTGATCCCACTTTAGGGGTTGCATGTAGCCCCCAATGTAGGAGGAGGAGCTGCAGTGGCAGCAATCTGGGGGCACATCTACAGGATGCTCTAACTCACCCCACTGAGGCATCTGCCGTGGGCACTGGACAGTCCTGGTCACTGCCTGTGTCTGGAAACCTGTCTGTGTGGAGAATTTATGTCCTGAATAATCAGCAGGCCGGTGGACCGTTTCCATGACAAAGACTGGGCTGGTCCCCCAACCCACCTGGCTCAGGAAGAGGCTGCTTTTGAGTGTGTGTGTGTGTGTGTGTGACAAAGACTGGGCTGGTCCCCCAACCCACCTGGCTCAGGAAGAGGCTGCTTTTGAGTGTGTGTGTGTGTG